AGGACGCATACAGCGCCTGCACAATCTTCCAGGAGCAGCTGGAGCATCGCACAGACGCTAGTACGCATGCGTGCGCTGTGAGCGAGCACGAGGACGCCGTCGGCCCCGTTCCAACCGAACCGGATGGAACGGGGTGAGAAACCCACCCCTGGTATGTATGAGGTATGTATGTATGTATGTATGCCATTGGATTATATTTGCGTAATTGCGAAATGTTTATTACTGCATTTTCAGGGGAAGGACAGGGAAGAATATAATACACACAAAATAGAGGCATTGCTTTTATAGTCAGTTATGCTGACTTGCATTTCGTACCAATATATCTGCTTGCGTAGACTTTCTTTTTGAAGCTTTCTATTTAAAATGGGTTTAAGAAGCTCTTAGGCTCCTCCCCCATTAACCGGAAAGCTCCCCTGTCTGTTAATAAAGCTAACACTAAATAAATCTCTTTATTCTGAGCACAGTCTAGTGGGATTAGGACTAGAGAGAATTGATTAAAATGAGTTGATTGGCACAGTGGCCAGAGTTTTTGAAAACTTCTGTTTTGAACAGGTTGCTAAGTGATTTTCCTGAGCTTGGTAAGAAAGTTGAACCCTGTAAGAACAATGGGACAAAGAACAATGAACTTAGGAAAAATGAGGTAAGTTCACATATTTTAATGTGCTAGACATTTATTTCATATGTATGGAAAATGAGTGCATCAGTAGTTAATTAATTGAACTGAATTATCCACTTTACTAAAAAGGTGTACTGGTCATTATATGATTTACCGTAAGTTTAAATAAGTAGATTTTTAAGAATCATTTAAATCAAGCAATATAGATTATTGGGGAAAAATGGAAATGTATCCTGTTTTTAAGCATGTATCTGATTTTTATTTTTTACAGGATGGTGAAGAGGTAAGCACATTATTCTGAAGATTTTTTTTTATCAATATGTTATTGCTACATGATACACAGACATAAAACGTACTCTTTCTCTATTTCAATGAAATATCAAAAATTTCAGTTTAAGAGCTTTTTTAAAAAACCTTGTAAATGGACATTTTATAACTTCGGATTTGTGCCTATATGCAATTTTTTTTAGCAAATTTGGGTTGGTTTTAATTTAGGAAATATGGAATAATTTAGGAAAGGCTTCATGTTTATTATTGTAAACTTTGCTGCTTTAAAAGTTAAAAATAAATTTAAAATACACAGTGTAATAATGATATGACAAATCTGTAACATTTTGGCTGGAGTGTTAATTTATATTCATTATCATGTGTTTCAGCAAGTTCAGTATGTTTTGTACATTATCATAAAAACAATTTAATTTCACCTTGGAAAATGATCAGTATAAATTAGGAATTCCCAGATTTTTAACACCACATGCCCTTTTTATATTTTGGAGACATCTTGCCTCAGGATGAATAATGTTAGATCTGTCCTTCATTTTGCCTAAGTAAATGTAATTGTTGATTTCTAATTCCATCCTTCCATCATCTTGTCCAGCATTGATGTTTATCTGGTTCACCGACAAATGCGCGATAGACATATGCGCACCGACAAAACTGCGCCGACAAAACCGTGATGTCAAAATTGCTAATTGATTTTCGACAATAGCGTGACGACAAATGAGCGATGACAAAATCGCGCATACGTACGTTATAACCCTAACCCTAAAAAATTTCCAATTTTATTGTCATTGCGTTTTTGTGGGCGCGATTTTGACGTCATGAATTTGTGGGCGCGATTTTGACGTCGCAGTTTTGTCGTTGCAGTTTTGTTGGCGCGCATATGTCTATCGCGCATTTGTCGGGTCACGGTTTATGTTATTCATCCACCGACCTTCAGCATTTCTATCACCTCATCAACTTGTCCCTAGATTATTAGACCATTTGAAAATTACTACATTGTTTTCTACAATGATACCTTTTGTAAAAATTTCACAAACTCGCTACCAACACCACTCCCAAATTCTTCATGCCATCCCAGTTTAGGAACTTTTGATGTAAGCAGAGAGCCGAGGTGGTACAGTGGTTAAATGCAGCACTGCAGGCTACTTCAGCTGACTGCAGTTCTGCAGTTC